GCCCTGCCCCGCTCCGACCGGCCCACGCTCCTCGTCTTCGCCCTTCTCGCCTAGGGTTGCATTCCCGACGGTGGCTGGATTTTCGACACTAGCTACATAGTAGGTCGAGATCAGCCATTGGCAAAGGTAGCGCAGGTCATCTGCCGCAGTCACTGATGCCACTGCAGTATATCTGATGAGGAGGTTCTAGGGGCTGAGTCCAGACGGTGACAGTACTTTCAGTCACTGTCTGGAGGAGAATTCTAGCGGCCTGGTGCTCTGATCGGTAATTTTCCGTGGCTTTCCCAATAAAAACCAAGCAAATTCTGGAGTAGAACTAACGAAAGACTCATTGACCGCGCGCGATCTTTCCTACCTCTTTTTGGTTCTATCCTCAACCCTTTCTTACACACACACACACACACACACACACACTTACATGCAATACACTACCACCCTCGCCTGTTTCGTCGCCCAAGAAATACCCTCTTTCTCCGCTAGGTGGTGAAAGGAGCGTAACGACATTTGCGTGGTCGGACGGAAGAGCAGGCCACTCGGCCTGAGACTCGCCACGAAAAATAAGGTTTCAATTCAATTCAATTCACACGTCGAGAGCGTAGAGCTTGGCCCGGGTGGAGCGCTGCCCTGCTGGTAGGAGACGTCTGGTTCGGGGGAAGCCCCGCCAGCCGACGTGTAGGTGGACGCCAGATCTCACCAAAACATGCACCACACTTACGTAAATAAGCACTTTAGCAGTTGACACGCCCAGAACCGTGAAATGAGCAATCAATTCTGCCGCGCTCGGGGGTGACTGTGACCGGTTCCAGTCCCGACAGCGACAAATTTTCGATGCCAGCTGGATCCCATCCAGCCTCTGTCCGGAGGAGAAATGCAAGGGCTGTTGCTCTCATTGGTAGTTGCCGTGGTTTCTCCGATCAACACCAGAAAAAATTTTTAAATTCCGATATATTTTTAAAGGAATGTCATAAACGTTTGAATTTGAGTATTTGCGAGAAGTTATTTTCGTTTTCAAATCAAAGATTTACAATGTTCCAACAAGATAAGTGCACATCGATACTTTTTCTAGTTGAATCTGCACCTCCTCAGTGATTAGTGAATCGAAAGCTAAATAGATGACTAAGTAGATCCAATAGTAGAGGCAATATTCAAAGAGTCTCATGAGTTGTACAGTTTTTCAGAATTGCTCTCTGCTGTGCGTGCCTAAACACTGATGCGATTGCTAAATTTTTATTAGCAAACCGGCGTACTTGGATACGTGCAATTATTTTGCTGAAAATATCAAATGATCTTCATAAATTCACATACATTTCGAGATTATTTTCGTTTTTGATCGCTTACGCTATGTAGTGCAGGGACTGAAAAGAAATGATCCTCCAAAATCGTAATAGAAAGCCCAAAATTATCATATTTTGTATATGAAGCCTAATAATTATTAATTAAGACTCCTTAAAATCTGAATTCATAATTTTAAAGACAGAGGACGCACAGTTTCGGAATAAAATGAGATGGATGTTTCAGAAAACACGTATGTTACATCATGCGTGTGTGCCTGATGCAACTTTTTTTTTAATTGCACAAAATCTCACATTTTTCGGCTAAAAGCAATTTCCAGCAATTTGATAGAATGACAATAAATATTTTATATATTGATGGAGAATATATTATTGACAATTAATGTATTTTAAACTAAAAACGACTTTTCCACTCTTGACAAACGAGGTCCTCTAAATAGAAAAAAATGTTTACCAAGTTGATATCGGTGTTCGCCAACCCGCCGAGTGTGCTATACACAGACACCGGCAAGTTATCCTGTCCTGTCCTGTCTTGTCTTTTGGCTCGACAGCCCGCTACTGGCCTTGGTCGACCAGCGGTGGCCCAGCCTCTCGCCATAGGTTAAGGGATTCGTGTGGTTAGCACGAAGACATCCCCCCACAGTATATTGTGGTCTTCATAACCTTAGGGTGGGATTTTTCATCGACACAGCAATCGATACTGGGCTATTTGTAAGGAAACCGCAGTTACAATTTGCCTCGATCGGGAATCGAGCCTGGTATTGCACCGAGGAAAACGAGCCACCCAAGAGAGAACGGCAAATGATCCACCTCAAATAAATGGTTTTAAAGGCAATGTGGTAAAGAGTACGCTCTCTCCCTTATGTGGTGCTCATGGAAGTCCTGCAAAATATTCTTGCCCCAAATGATCAATATCTTCGTGTCTTTTCCAGGAATTCCGTCTGCCTCCCTCGCCATTGTGGGGAGGTTTAGCATCAACATAACGTACAACATCGGGCTCCAGTACGCTGCCGAGTTGCTGCCGACGGTGGTGAGGGCGCAAGGAGTTGCGCTAGTGCACATCATCGGATACGCGGCGACAATCGTCGCTCCGTTTGTTGTGTATTTGGTGAGTTTAAAGACGCCTCCTCTTCTCTAAATAGTCATATTACGTCACATTGGTATTATAGAACTCTTGCACTGGCGCGGATCCAAGGGAAGGGAAATCCCTTCCTTAAATATTTTCAGTAACTATTAATTTTAACTTATCACGAAACTTTCAAGCAAAAATATTTTCGGATAATAATTAAAACGAATAAAATCGTATCTCATCATGAGCTGAGTGTAGCCTGCGACATTTGACAAAATCTGTAATATGACATATTCGACCAGATCATTTTGAATTTCCCCTCCCAAAATTTGTCTCTGGATCCGCCCTTGTATTACATGTGTATTCAATCAGGAACAACCAACTCATTCGGGATGATTTACTGGCGTTAATAATGTTAATAATATAGTACATTTTAACTGTTTGAGACCTTTCATACCCTTAGTTTCTTACATATTGTTTTTTATGCCATTTCACAAACTTCTAAACAGTATCTCTGCTTATAATAATTAACTATCATATCGATATTCTTAAAATACGTGTTTGATAAAAATATGTCCATAATCTGTCCGGTCTTAAATATATGTTTCCAACAGTATGAAGTAGAGCATATTATGTCACGGTCATAGTGGTTAATCTCCGATTATGCATGATCGCCTGCCATAATGTGTTGTTACCCGACGGCGCGTTCGCAAAGAAAGTAGGTAGAGAATGTGGTTGAAATGTGGACGTTTGTTCGCATTTTACCAGCGCTCCAGATATTTGACAGTTCATGTCCTTGTCAAGTCAGAATTGATGCCTAATGGTCCGGGAGTAACTTAATACCTCAATATTACAAAATCAGTTAGTCAAAATAATTAATCATTTTGACAAGTCATTCTTAAAAATAGCTCATGTGATTTTACTGAAAAAATAATTCTTTTAAAAATTAATAACTGCTTTTTTGTTTCTTAACAAACTGATAGGCAAAAATGTTTTCGCTTTAAAACACGCCATTCCTCTCGCTGCTATGCATAATGACTTGTCATTAATGTTTGGGCCAGTTTGGAGAGAATCATTTTGACTTATTTCTGTCAGATATTATGTATAATAGCTACATAAAGATGTTAACAAATGAAGCCACTTTAATAATCAACGTCGGTTAAGGATTTCGCAGTTCTCTGTCCGTTAAGAACAAAGGAGTTGTGGGTAAGATAGTGGATGAGTTCACATCTTCAAAAACATTGTATTTCTTGTTTATATAATTTTTACCTGTAAGAAAATGATCTTACGAAAGGTAAATTGAACGACACACGTCCATTGTCAAACTAACACATCGTGTAATTGAAACTGTTCTATATGAACTGATCTTGCTGCATATATTTTCCTGTGGGGTCTCTGAGATGAGCTTTGTTAGAATTTCAAATTTATTGTTTTATTACTTCTTGATAACTAGTGCTGCTACAATAGCTCATGCTTTCTAGAATTACGCAGTTCAATATCATGCTACTACTTTAACCTATAAAACTGTTTTCAATATGCAAACAGTTTTTGTTTTTTTTCGAGATTCGAACTCTGACTGCCAGGCACGTTACGCTTCGTAACCATTCGCAAGCTGAACTAAACATTCCCGACGCTTAAAAACTACTGGTTTCTTGCAATAGTTCTAAAGTATGCAATTTTCAAAAATTCAGAGAGTTCAATTCTATCTTTAGACGGCAGATTTCATTGCCGCAAAAATCTCTATCATTATTGTAGTTGTAGGACGATGACGAAAGATTTTCAACCTCTAAAATTTTCGAAAACTGAGAATTTTAACGATAATACGACTTGAGTCATTATTGTAAGCGCCAATTACTCTATCCGAGGACAAAGTTTAATCAAAAAATTTGGATCGAATATTTTAGGAAATTATGAAAATGTTAAGGCTTCATTTAAGGTACCCCAAAAATCAAAATTTTCATCTCTTGCACTTGCAAGACCTCGTGCTCCTATACATTGATCGGGGGTATCAGTTTTGGAGAAAATCGCAAGAAGACTTTTTAGATGACAGCATTAACCTCAGATGGGCGCACAGACGTTTACCGTCTATCAATTTTTCAGTCACAATGACGCATGACACGTGAATTGTCACTACACATTCTGTTAGAGGAAGCGATTTACAATATTGAAACAAGATTTAACCAAGTTTTCGTTGCAAAGGACTGTCAATAGGAGTTTTTCTGTCAAAAATTCGCCAATTTCCGCCTCAATATTGCAGTACTTTCACTTTGCAATGTTTTGTTTTAATTGGACCCAGTTCTTACCTGCTAAAATATTGACCTTTCATTCCGGAACACCCAACTTTTCTGATAGTTTTTGTTTATTGACAAAATGTGAGTAACATTGTTCACAAAATGAGTGGGCAAAAACGGCTACGTAAACTCTATGAATTGAGAAAATTTGTATGTTTAGCATCATACTACCTACTCAGAAATTTGCAATACGATCGAAATCATCAAGAAATTCATACACAATTACATAGAAGAATGAAGTAAGGTGTATTAAAGAAAAATATGACAAACCTCATGCAGACTTCGTGCAGACTTGCATTTCTTCAAAACATAATTAATATGCGTATATAAATGTGACTTCCTTAATAAAATGTTTCTTTCTTAATGTTTTCCCATGGCAGGCATTTTAACAAGTGAAACTGTTTTAGGGCTACTACTCTCCACTGCTGCCATTTGTCATCCTTGGAGTGATAGGCGTCTTCGGTGCTGCACTCTGTCTCTTTTTACCCGAAACTCTCAACGAGGAACTTCCTTTAACACTTCAAGATGGCGAGTCCTTTGGAATGGGCCAAAAATTCTGTGAATTCCCTTGCTTGAAAAAGTACGTAACTTCCATTTATTTAAGTTTACATATACGATTAATAATAATAATAGTAATGATGATGATAATAATAATAATAATAATAATAATAATAATAATAATAATAATAATAATAATAATAGTAATAACAATGTGTCATAGAAATATAGGAAGAAAGTTAATATTTGACCTTATTTCAGGCCTGAGGCTCAGCACGTAGAATCGACTTTATCGATGCCCGACTCGGGTTTCGCTCGCATGTCGATGCGCGGGTCCATCCGAGGTGAGATGTACAGATCCAGGAAGATCCAGATCCACAGGAACAGCGTCATCCGAAGGTCCGTGAGATCGAACAACGCGGCCCCCGCGGCTCCAGTGCCGACGGTTCAAATCGAATCCGAAAGTTCGGTTAAAACATGAACTCTCTCCTGAAAGTGGCCCCAGTATTCCGCGTAAAAGCTGTTCCGTGGCGAACTGTTGAAAGCGATTGGACTGCAAGAGGAAGCAGAGATCAAGATCTCTCATGAGAAGGCAATGTAAATGTGGGAGAATTCTTGAATACTGTCTACAATCCTGTGTGATGCAGATATTTGTGCGATGCAGAAAGCTTCATGGAGTCAGTAGTCGGCAAACGCTAAACAAATTGCAAATGAAAGAATATTTGTGCAGCCCATATGTTTGTGAACCAAGTTGCGCATTTAGGCGCTCTTGTAAAACTAGCATTTGAGAAATTATGGGAGAAATTTTGTTAAGAAATACTTGTTTGTGTTGAATTTAACACATCTAAACAATGATTGAATCAAGATGTTAATGACATTTTACGCTATTATAAATGACGGAAAAAAGTAGGATAGAACTCTCAAACCAAAGCCAAGAATGTGTTCTTGTACAATTAAGAACTTTTATTGAGTGATTTTGTAGCATCAAATTCACTACAATAAAAATATATTCTTGAGTATTAGGGACCTGAGAAGTAGAATAGCAGTTTTCCTTCAACCGCTCTCCTAAACTGTAACAATAAATTAATGTCTAATCAATGTTTAAATAATTTTAAAAAGTTATCAGTTTTGAAAGTAGTATATAAATTTGGTTAGTATGAAAATTGCTAATTCATGATGAGTGTTGTCTCATGTAAAAATAAAATGTTCTCTTGTTTTCAATCTTTGAATATTTTTCACAAATTGGTTTCTGACTAATATTGCTATTGTAAGGTTGCTTTCATAAAATGTGAGAATTAACGATAAGTTGGTAGTCATTTATTTTCCTTAAAATAAGGACAATTGTGTAAATACTATAATATATGTAAAAATGAGAGTTATAGACTAGTCTTATAAGTTATGATGTACATGAAGCCACGTGTGTATTATGACCTTGCAATATTATGTGAGTGGTAAAATATAATCTGTCGAACAAGAAGACAGTTCGTTAAATTGGTGCTACATTCACTTTAAAATGGTATTCGCGAGTAAACATACCATACTACTTGTATGTAGTATACAAAAATGAACATTGGAAACAAAATCGTGTAAATATTATTTTGTACATATCGACTTGCATCATGAAGCAATACAAAATAAACAATTTGATATTTAATTCATAGCGATTGATGCATGTAATTTGTCTGTAAAGTAATAATAATAACTATTACAATTAATTAGTGAATTTTATTTGTTCTTATTTTTCTCTAGAAAGTTTACCTTTCCTCACAAGGGCACAACCTTACAAAGTCTGAGAGCCAAATGTTTATAAGTACATCTCATTGACTGTCACGGCTTCGTTTTACTCGTACGATTTCTCACTATAGTTTCTGGAAACCGATTCTGTGGCTTGTTTATTCTGTTTTCTTTAAAATCAGTGTTTTGTTATCCTCCATTAATGTGTTTTTCATATCAATTAGTTTTAATGCACAATTAAACTCACAGTTTCTAAACATTGCCACTTTATCCATTGCTGTGAATTTTAGTTCAATTGACAATAACTTCGAAATGTGAATTGGCTTTTACATTAGTGGGGCTGCAGATTGGCACAGACTTTCCCCTATTAGTTTTCTATTTCCTTTGGTCTTGGTTAGCTATTCGGACATGTCACATACTCTTGCCAGCTGCCATATATCGCCGCCCAAAGTACATTTTTTGAAATTTTCTTAATTTTCTGGTTTCCTTATTGTAGAATGCAAACATTATTTTAAGAAAATTAAAGAATAGTAAAACGTCGTCATAAATAGAAATTTGCTTTAAAAAATGTGAAACAGTTTTTAAGAAAATGGCGTTTAAGCGCTACTGTAAATTCGAAATTTGAAGCTCTTTTTCACAGACAATTTTTGAGTTTTGAGCTAGTTTTCACAGAAAACGGCTGAGTTTTCGAGAAACTTTGAATGACATTATTTTAAGCACATTTATTCATAAATATAATGTGAACATATTGCCACTAATACAAAACTTAATGACGTGAGAGACAAATAAAAGAAATTACATTTTTGAATTATTTCAAAAAACAAAAGAAACAGCAATTTGACGTTCTTGTCAACTTGTAGACTACATTTCGCACTATCCCTAAGTTTAAAGAAAAATTTAGAGCCGTTTTTGAGAAAATCTTGTTTTTGTGATTTTTTAAAATAGCAAATATTGCACGCAATATTGCGCGAACACTACTAAAAATTTCAAAAAAATGTAGACAACCTTAATAAAATAACTTATTATGGACAACAAATTTAATTTGAAAAAAGCTCTATCTTCAATTTTGTAGTTGTAGGAACACACCGAAAAAGTCATACTTTTGAAATTTTCAAAAATTCAGAGCTAACCGTGAAAATCGGACCTTCACCACATTTATGTGTATATTACTCTATTATTACGAAAAACTTAAAGAAAATATTTGGAGCCTTTTTGAAAAAAAATTGAAAATGTCCCGAGGACTTTACGCGAAGTATCCCCAAATTTTAAAGAATGTTTCAATCTGAAAAAAATCCTACTCATGGTATAGGCACTAGTAGTGTTCACAGACACCAGACAGACGGACAGAAAGACAAGTAGACGGACGGACGGACGAACGGACGGACGTTTTGAAAAAAAAAAACACTTTTTCGGTAGCTGTGGTCCTCAAAACATGTATTTCCGTTGAAATCACGAAATCGATTTTCCGCAGCATTACATAACTTTCCCTATACTACGTTTATTACTCGGTATACACGTACCTACACGGGAAAGTAAAAAGGGCAACTCTTAACAACAAATTGTTTCTTCTTTAAACATTCATCGTTTCAAAAATGAAGACTTATTCAATGTTTGGCGTACTGTTCGTGATGGAGATGCAAAGATCACGCTAATTAACCACTACATAATTGAGAACATTAAAATCTAGTAAAATGTGGCGTCGCGGATGCTATTAACTGTTTTAAAAATAGTTTCATGTGTTGAAACTTTCTTTCAGGTCCAACTTGTGTTACCTCCAGGCGGGGTATGAACTAGTCTTATTGCAATTTCAAAATTTAAATCGCTGTAACAAATACGTGCAGGTTGTGATGCTAATAGTTGAATTTTAGTACAGCTTCATTTTTAAGCTTTTTTGCTAATATGCACAAAAATGCATATTATCACAAATGCTAAATGCAAAAATGCAGATCGTTCCCACTTAGTTCCGATAATTGTGTCGCAACATCGTTTACAACTACATTTAATTCTTGCCCGGATTTCCTTAACATTTCTATATTGTTCTTCTCTAATTTTTGAAGAGATTGAAACTTTGCAAACTCAGTCTAATTTGTGTTCTCTTCTACTTCTGCAATTACTCTATTATTTTTTTATGCGAATATAATGTTGCACGCAAATCTAACGTTAAAAGGCGACTGTTTTGTATGTTTATGTAAAAAAGGTGTTAAGTTTAATAGACATAAATTGTGGGTCACATTCGTTTGAAAATCGGTATTTACACTTATGAAAGAACAGAAAAGTGGGAAGTCGAACATAACGTTCATTCATTCCCTAGCATTACTCACAGTTTTGTTTTCTCCGTATTCCCTTGAAATTCTTCAAGTTTAATAAAATCCGAGGCACTACTGTTCGTAGGTTTTCGCAAATCTATTTTTAAAAATACGTTAATTCGAATCTAAATTCAAATCAACCTGCAGTGCGATTTACTTTGTAATTCAATTGTTCATTTAAAGATGTCAACATTTTTACTCGAGTAGTGTAAACTGATAATCTAAATTCATTGAATGAATAGAAAATTTGGTACAAAATTTTCCATTTATACAAATAATAGTATAAAGATAAACGTTGAGAATATATTTTTAGAAAAAAATGTTTTGGCCCAAGGATAGCTTCATCATCATGATAAAACCAATGCCATCATTTTCATCATCTTATCAACATCACCTTCTGTTTTGCGAAAAATTAATTAGGAAAAAAAAGTGGGAACCTTTCCAGTGGTCACACCTAAGGTGTCTGGTCTATTTGTGCAAGCGGCAAGTATTGCAGCACATTATAAAAAAGAGAAAAAAAATCAGTTATTTTAATAGAATCTAGCCTATAAACAGATAAGAAAAGTGAGGAGACTGTGTGTTTTAAGAGAAAAAAGTTGTTTGAACACACTTGAAGAAGCAGAGTTTAGATAATTTAAGTAATCATCAATATTTGCGTATAAAAAGTAATTTACTTTAGACAATAATTGAATAAAATGTCAATATTTGAAACCTAAACTCAGCGCGGTTTCTACTATATCTATCTATCTATCTATCTATCCATCTATCTATAGACCGTTACTATATTTAGCAGTTACTACTAACGACATTAGTTGCGAAACTTCCTTTACAATATATTTTGAACTTACATGGAAACGAAAAACGTTTTCACAAGAAGTCATCCAGCATGTGGATAGTATGCTAAATGTTAGCAATATTAATGCGGAAATTATTTGTAGTTATAGTTCGGAAGTACATTCGATTACAATTACAGGATTCTGCATTATCTCAGACTGTGAGAATCCCGTGTGATATGTGACCCCCACTTGCTTCTACCTGTCTCTGCGCGACGGAGCGTGAAAACAAAGAGAGCCTGGATACGTGCCTGAGGAACCTCCCGCCGTGCGTTTAGTAGGCGAGACTACAACGCTGCAACAGTCTGTGCTGAAGGACATTGATGAACCAGTTGCCGGCCAATCACTTCCTAGACATGATCGATGGGTGACATGACAGGCGAACGTATTCGCCAGGGAAGTCGATGGACCTGTCGTTCTTCAAACGATTGCACATTCCACCTAGCTATTATCCTACTGGAATACGGCATGTGGATTTGCCTGAATAATGGGCAGCATATCGGACTGTAAAACCGCCCTGATGCAGCGGAGGCTGTTGAGCTTGCCCTCAAGCGAGACGTTCCTGAAATCACAGATAGCTTTCGTTTGCTACGCCGCTCAACAAAGAAAGAGTTGACAGATAGTGTTCACCATGATATCGTCTGATACGTATGTGGCCCTCGTTGAAAGACAGATTGAAGCGGATCTCATCCGAAAATACATTTCCTCACGCACCCTGCCAACGATGGCGTTTACGTGCTCATTTCTATCGGGGACGTTCGTAGTTTTTGCGCACACAGGTCTTCTATCACATAAATATTCTTAACTGTTTCTCACCCCCAACCTGGAGAACCATGGGAATTCGATTTGGTCTTCCCTTGTCCTAGGGAGATTGTTTTCTCTTCGTCAGCAGCGTCCTCCTCGCTTATCCCTTTTCGGTGAGCCAGAGGGAAAAGGTTTCAACCGCCCAAAAATCCTTCTTCCGCCCTCACAAACCGAGGCAGTTGACTGTCGGGGGACCACGAGGGAAGGTCTTCACTAGAACTGCCGCTGAGGTCCTCTCGTGATGGTCCTCTTAATATGCGTTTAGATCCTCTTCTGGAGTACTTTGCATGACTCCCCATCGACCTGTCCGGCCACGGAGGCTCTACCAACAGCTGCGCTACCTCCGACGTAGCGGCGGGTCGTGAGATTCTCAAACTGCACCTATGCCAAGGACACGTACTCCCGAGGTGAAGTCAATTTTCATTCAATTTCTGGATTAATACTTTTTGAAAAATATGTATGCGCAATGTTTTTAGTTCTAACAACTGGGTCTCTCACTTTATGCTTTTCTATTCTACATCTCTGACCCCGGCTGACTCTGTTGCGCATGCGCACAAGAGGGCAGGCGCTATCTCATTCTCTCTCGCACTCACTGGGTAGAGAGCCTACATTATCGGCGGCGTTTAAGTGACTTTGACAGTTCCAAGCGCTGTTGCCATACAGTACTACGCTCATGACACCACCTTCATCACAGATAAACGAAATACCAAAACTTGAACACTTTCTGTCAGGCTACGACACGTCATTAGATCATGTTCATAACTTAAAGCCGAAACGTATCTCCTTCGCGGCTACGTGTGAGTCAGATGAGCGGCGTCACTGAACCCTGGCTGTGAGAAAGTAAACAAATCCTCGCATATAGATTGGTTCGGAACAGGTCACATGTCGTACCGCAGCACGTGGCGAGAGAACTGTCAGAGACGCTTATACGCTGCCGGTACTGTCCAATCATGCACAGACTTGTACTGCGATGAAACGTCCTCCTCCGCCTCAGGCAAATTTACCTCATCACCTGACGACCTGGGAAAGTAGAGTGAGTTGTTTGTGTCATTTTTGTTCGTGTTTTCTTTATGGAACAATTAATGAAGTTAAAGATTTAGTGTTATAGAGAATGACCCACTGACTATAGGCCACCCCATAACTTCTAAACGGTTCACGATATCGAAATGCAGTTTTCGTTCAACAATGCAGAATAATGACGCAAAAAAAATACCGTACGACCTAATATCCCGCGTTAGATATGAAGAGACTACTAAAATCTGCATTAAAGCATGAATGAACTTCCAGGGTCAGAATTAATTGAAAGACTCAAAATTGTTGATACAGTAGTAACTCAGATGAAATGTAGGTGTCAAGATTTTGAAAACATCCATTTTATTGAATTTCTTGAAGAAAAGCAGTTTTCCCCCTTCAACGCGTTCTTTCTTTCAGAAAAGTTTTCTTTCCCAGTAAAATAATATCCATTCTTTGACACTGAGCAGCTTCGAAATGAACTGAACTACTATTGGAAGATGCTCTCGTGGTCGCAAAGTCGCTTGCCCTTTCACCACTGAGGTTCCGTGTTCGATTCCCGTATTATTCCCCGTAGAACTTCATGTGAAATTTATCACAAAATTAGTCTGCATACTTCATTGGGGCTATTCGAATCCCTGTGAAGTGTCCTAAACCCTCCCCAATCCTAGTCCCTTTCCAAATTTCGCCGCTGAGTAGTGACGCAGGGACGCATAGTAGGAGGCGCATAGTAGGAGGCGCTATTTGGCGGATCTCTGGAGAACTGACTGCGACGAAACGTGACAATGAAATATTAATGGAAGATTACTCCAACAGCGCAAATCGCTCAAAGTGAATTTCTTGGACAAATTTGTGTAGAAAAATATATCATGAGACGGTTCGGTTGATACAACTCAGTCTAACTTTCCCAGTATCTACAGCAGTATGTGGAAGGAATATAATTCCATTAATAAGAGTAAAGATATTCCTGAGAAATTTCATGGGAAATATCAGGATCGGTAATTTCACAGTACACTGGTAGAAGTGTCTTCTAAATTAACTTTGCGGAAACGACAGTTATAAAGTACAAAGTAAAAAAAAACATTACTAGCTTCCCCACTGATTAATTCTGTTATTCCAAAAAAAAGTCTGTTATTCCGAACACATTCGACGGACTAGGCAGCAAAAACTCTCTAGCAAAAATTTAAACTCGCTTATGAAAAATTTATTAAGTGCTGTCAACACCATGCCTCGTACCAACCAACCAACTTCGTAGAATTTACTTTTGAAATGAAGTAAAAACTCAGTTTTATTCACTCATTTTAAGTAAATATTGGGAAAATAGGTTCTTTCTAAGATATTAAGTATTTACTATAAATAGCATCGACTAAGTTTGTAGTATAGAAATTTACTTTTATTAACATGATATTTCGCGCCAGTCTCTGGGAGCCTTGATTCAGCCTGTTACAGAATACCAACTGTTTTATAAATAATTCCAAATAAGTATACTAGAATGAGGTGCGCAGCGGGCAAAATTGTGGATTGGCTGTAGTGGTTCAATATGAACGCTTGACGCTAATTCTAGCGGGTAATACTTCGTCCAGTGAATGAATATTCAAATATGAACAGTCACCACTGCAATAATCCGGGAACTTCAAAATCAGCGGGAAGATCAAGAGGACCAGGTCGCACATCTCTTGGATATCCTTTCAGGTTCCCAATGAATGCAACAATTGCATCATCTGCAATAATTAATAACGGGTTTGCTGGAGGCTACAACAATGTCTTTCCAATGGAGCATTCCAATGGTACATCAGCTGCTTCTAACGCATTGAATAACCAGTATCTTCTTCACGGACATCCAATGGTTTCACCCGCAGTACGTGGCATTACAGACCATTTCTCTGGTACACCAATTGGCGGTTCTAATGTATATACTGCTGAATTAACTGCAGAATATGCAACCACTTTTGCTCCTGACGATGACTGCTCTGGCAATTCTGACCTTTGTCCAACACCATCTGACTTTACCTCAGTCATGAGGCACTATGGTAAATATGATAATTTTTGTATAAATACTGTGTGAATTACTTTTTTCTTTGTTTTCTTGTTTTTAAATGTTTAACACAATGTGTTTGTTTTCATTTTCCTGGCATTGAAATTGCAGAGTTTCTCCGCAGGTAAGCAGAAATTTAAAAGTGTATCATAATTTCACTACACATTGTTATTAAGCCTATTCATTATTATCAACATGAAAAATTACTTTCAGTTTAGAAGAATTGAATGCAAAAACAGGAAGTTCTCGAAAATTGCCATTAAACAGTACACAGCACCAGCCTTCTAACATTGAACCTAAATTCAAGAATGTTTATCAGCAAACAGAACATGTTCTGCAAAGAAATGTATCACAACAGACTTTTCCATACCATTGTAATGAAGATAACTGCCCTGAACCAGATGAACAATTCTGTCACCTTGATGTCAAACGAAGAAAGACAAGTGGTAAATATATTTTGAATATTCAATTCGAGTTAATTATTCAAAGTTATCAGGCAAGTTTATTAGCACATTGATGGTGCAATGATATTTGTTTAACTTATGTAAATAAATATTGTTAATAATAATTCAAAATCATGAAACCAAAATGACTGTGATGTTTTTTGAAGGTAAGCATGGGAAACATACTACATAAATGCATATGCAACTGTTCTTGTTTATAATTTCCCTGGTTATAGAATAAAAAACTTTTCACACATTCACATTTCTAATCAAATTTTCACTTCAGAATCAAGATTTAATAAAAGAAAACAATAATTTAATTATGTTTTTGTTATCATTTGATAATTCATTCAAATTGATATCATTATTAGTAAATTTCATTTTATTTTTAATAGAAAATTAAACGTGTTTAACATTGTAAAGTTATCAGATCTCTCAAGCTCTAGAGCCCTTTGTCGGTCTCAGCTTCACACACAACAACATTCCATCTTCTTCTGTCTTCCGCTGTTTTCCAGTTCTTCACCTTCATGATGTTAAGGTCTTTCAACAGAGCATCTTTTGATCTTTTTTTGGGATGGCCTCTCTTCTGTTTTGAGATGAGGTTACCTTCTAATATCTTTTTAGACATTCTTGATTATGATGGTTAGGACATATAGAAAGGATGTTCCATCCTTTTATATGCCCTAACCATTTAATCCTTTGTGGCTTAATAAATCTGACAATCTTTTCCCTCCAATTTTAGATTCATCTCATCATTGGACCTATATCTCCACATCTCTTGGTCTTTGATAGGTCCTTATATTTTGTGTTCAAATCGCCTTAGCTTATTTTCATCATTTGTTGTTAATGTCCAGGCCTTTGCCACATATGTTACCACAAGATGTAGTAAAGTTTTCTTTTTTTTCATTTTTGGGTTATATCGTATTGATTTATTTCTTAATATTTACATATTTATATAATAATGCTTTAATCCCTTCCTTTACACATTCTTTGATACTTTCCCTCATAACATTTTGATTCCTAATTAGGGTTCCTAAATACTTGAAGTTGATAACTCCTTCAAAATTTGTACTCAATATTTTATTAATATTGTGGGCACCTTTTGTCTGATGTCAAACACTGATTTCTCAGAAATTGCAATTTTACGTTTTGTAGTTCTGTAATACTCGTATTCCTATTCCAATATTCCTAAGTCATAGCGTGTAAAAAGGATCTTCCTATTTATACAATTAAACGCTTGTTTATAATTTACAAATAATAGTTGAATATCTGTATCGAGCTGTTGAAATTTTTCAATATTTTGTCTTACCATAAATATTCGATTCATAAGATCGACCTTTATAAGATTAAATTTGCATTAGTATTCTCCAATAATTCTCAGAATACTTTTGAAGAGTCTGACTTTTTTTCCTGATAATATTTTAATTACTTTGTAGACAACGTTTAGTATAGTAATACCTCTATAAGTTTCACAAGCCAATCTATCTCCTTTCTTGAATATTGGACATTTCATTCCACTTTGCCATTTCTCTGGCATCTTTTCTTTATCCCACATTTTGCCTATTAATCTACATATAGACTTTTCCAAAGCAATACCTCCATTTTTAATTAATCCTCCTTGTATTTGATCTTCACCGGGTACCTTATTGCTTTTTATTCTTTTATCATCTGTGCCACTTCTTTTTATTCAGGTTAACTTTCTTCATTTCTTATTTCATTTGTTCCAGTATTAAATTTCCTTTACATCTATATATTCTATTTTCTTGTTTAACAGATTTTCAAAATACTGTGCTCATCTATCTATTACTTCTTTTTCATTACTAAGTATTTTTCTATTCTTATCTTTGCATCTTCTGTCTTTTATTTTAAAGTTTTTTCTTATATTATTGATGGCAGCATAGAATTTCCTAATCTCACTTCCTTCGTTTAGCTCTTCTATTTCTTGGAATTGTTTTCTTTGCATATTTTTCATTTTCTGTCTGCATGTTATATTAGTCTTCCTTGCATTCTTATATTCTTTTTTATTATTTCTTGTTAGTCTCTGCAACATCTTATGGAAAGTTATGAGGTAGTAACAAATATTTTTTTTATTTATTATGTAGATAAAACTATTTGCAATTATCATTCATCAGATTGGTGTGTACAATAATGTCACAACTACATTTTTATGTTTTGGAAAATTTATAACAAAATTATTGAAAGAAATTGAATTGCCAATAAAAGCCAAATTCTTTTGAAACAATCATGAAATGAAGAATAATCAATTATGTATATTTTTAGATTGTAGGTTTCTCGATTGTGATAAAAGCTATGTTACAGTTGAAAGCATGAAGCTTACCACTCGAAAGATCAACCTGAAAGGTGTTGCAGGATTAAGTGATGTCAAGATTGTTATTCAAGAAACTTTCTTACTTCCTTTAACTCACCCACATTTATATAAATTATTTCCAGGTAAAACATTTAATTTTTCTTATTAATAATTTGTTGTTTACTCAATAAAAAATTGAAATATTATTATGTAATGGTATTGATTGTAAATCCTAAATAAATATTTTTGTGTTGTGTTAATCCTAATAGTAACTTTATGTTTTGACAGGAACAGTAAAGAGATGTTGTCGATGTCTTTTGTATGGACCACCTGGTACAGGCAAAACTTTATTAGCACAAGCTATTGCTTCTGAACTCGAAGCAGGCTTGTATTATGTGTCTTGTGCTGGAATATTATCATGCTATGTCGGGGAAAGTGAAAAGTAAGTACTCTGCCTTTGTTTAAAATAATTAAATTATGGAATGATCACAAAAAATATTAAATATAAAATACATTCTTAATTTGCATATCTGATTTAAATGCATGGAAACAGTTTAGACAAAAATTGTTATGAAAAGGTCCATGCACATTAAATTTTGGAAATAATCATTGCATGAAATGAAGAAACTATGGAAACACACATTTGTCCATCTTTATTATTCCTTTTATATTTTTATTTAAAATCTCATTATTTCATTAGCAAATCTCACAGAATTTATAATTTTTGAACATTTTTCTTGACAGAAATGTTAGAGAACTATTTGAACATGCTTTGGGACAAACAAATCCATCTATCATATTCTTTGATGAAATAGACAGTGTGTGTCGGAAGCGAACTGATAAAGAATCTGAGCATAGCCGAAGGTATGTTTACATTTTAATAAAACAGTGTTTAAATGCTTTAAAAAATACATTAAGTTATAATTCATTACTTTTAAACTTATTTATTCCTTTAAGAAAGTAAAAATCACAAAAGAATGATAAATATGTTCGTGTAGGGCAAAATGATTATTTCTGTGAATTCTCATGATTTCATTGACAATTTATTTTTGCTGAAGATACAAAAGAATATTGGCTACATTTCTTCCTTCAAAAATTTTTCAGTTAATAACCAATTCCTAGAAATTTATTAATTAGTTTATTTTTATAATTATTCCTAGCAAATAAAATGCTTCAAAGCATAAACTTCACGAGCTTTGATATTTAGCACAAGTTTGAATACAGATATATTATGTAGAGTTTTCTCTCCTTCAGGAGAGTAATGGGAAATTGATATGGTTTTCATTCCTAATGAAGGAATAAGCCAAAAACTGTTTAAACATGCTTAGAAGGCAAAGAAAACACTCATATAGGTAACTTGTTAAACAGAATATCACAAAAATCATGCAAATAGAAACAGAGGAGATACAATTTTGAACAGCAATTTCTCATGATCATAAGCTTAGATGTCTGTCAAAGTGTTTTCCATTTTTAAATTTAAAAAAGTAATTGTTTCTGACAGTTCTGAAAATTTAAAATAACTGAATAAAAAAATCCAAATTAAACTTGATTCTCTCTATGTAAGTTGATTCTAATGACTTTTTATTGCTTCCAAGTTTGTGGGTTTTGTCCTGGGAGAAGTCAGTGAAATTTTCAAAGGGTGGAGAAAGCATAGAAATCATATTTATTCATGTTAGAGATTCCTTCCAATTCATGCTTAGAGAAGTTAAATACTCTTTCAATTCTTGCTGAGAGTTCATGCAAAAAAATTCTTGATGCTCAATACGAGAGCCAAAATCCAGTTGTGTTGAAAGTCAGAACTGTGTGATTGAAATATCTGTATCAGCCTTAATCATGTACTGAAAGGTGTGGGCCTCCAACAGAAGCTCTTCTTATTTATAATGTGTTAAGGAAAGGTAACAGATTTTGAAAATTACCAAAATAACAAAACCAATAAGTGTACTACTGCTGGATAGGAAATAACTCCCTAGTCTTGCATCCAACAGATTTAAAATGATCAAAATCGAAGTTTACATATTATGGCATACAAAAAAGATTACTGCAACACATATTAAAATCCTACGTAACTTGGAAACGATGTGCCCTAATTTCTTAAAATCAAATTTTTCATGTCTCTAATGGGATACAAGTTGTGTACTCAAGTTTTGGGAGGACAGATGGGGAAATGCAAGAGGCAAGTGGAGGATAGGTGGAATATATTGGGCCTGAATTGATTCTTAAGGAGTATTCTATCTATTTTCAGTAAAATGATAGTTCATGTGGCTGCTGACGGATGTGAAAGTTCATTACCTGTCTACATTTTTGAACTCTGTAATTCATTTTTGGAGATACATTATGTTGAGTGCCCCAACTCCATAGTATGGGTGGGAAGAATAGGGCAGAAAATCAAAATCTATGTACAATTAAATTAAAAGAAAAAGACAGAAATGATCTTTCAAATAAAAATATTTCTATTCCATTTTCTGTTCAATTTAATCTCAAGCTTAGCAATATTAGAATGGTTACTTTTGCAAATTTATCAGGCCTTAACATGTCTGTAACACATTGTGGAAGGGCTAATCATTTAAATTTAGTTTCTACTATGAAACAATTTTCACTTTTAAAGCATTTATTTGCAAAGGACAAGGTTTTTTTTTAGCAGGGCCAGCTTACTGGTCTTTATTGTTTGAATCCCATTATAATTATTAGGCTTCTATTTTTGAAACTAACTTTGGTGTATTAATGATGGGAAAATAAATATTCATTTTCCATTAAATTATTATTCATGAGTTCTAAACAATTAAAAATGAATTAACACTGTATCAAAGCTCATGAAAAAGTAAGAGACATAAGAGGCTGGATCTTCATTACCTTTCAAAGTTTTTATTAGATTCAATATTCAAGAAATAGTATTGATAATTTCAATACAAGAATTGACTACTCTTTTCTTAGTGAAGCTTTAATACTAGATTCTCAAAAATATTGCATTGTTCATGGGAACTGTTGATTAAGTGGAAGTTTTGAGTGACTAACTTTTGATGTGCCTACAAGCATCCCTTTATTAAGCAATAACCTCCTTCCTGACTGCCGGTTATGGGAGAAAGGTACTAGGCATTCTCTCACAGTGACTCCTATTTACAGCTGGGGAAGTTGTTGGATCAGGAAGAGAAGATTGTGGTTTGTAGTTCATTGCATAAGGTCCTACTTCTGCACTCACTTAAAACTGATCAGGGTATCTTGGAATTACCCATTTATTGCAGTGGGTGTGTGAGCACCATGATGACAAGGGTCACAAATACTCTGACATTTAAAACATCAAGCAACTTCCTGGCACCTAACCTAGGTTGAACCCAACCATCATCATGTCAATCATATGATGCCTTGACACTACGATACTGATTTATTTATTGATTAAACTTTACAGACATTGATAAGTCCATTTTACAAAAGTGTAGAACACAAAATATACATATATATAAAAAATGCAAAAGTTATTACTAAAGGTAACTAGATAAACTATTTTTATAACAATACACATTAACGTGTTCTGTCTCTTTGAGGGTTTCATAATTGTGTGGTAACAATAATTAATTTTTATTTTACATATTTTCTTTTTTCTCATAAATATTTTGGAAAAAAGAAATGTACAAGTACTATAATAAATACTTGATTAATAATTAATATATATAATAAATAAATAACTAGTTATAATTTTGATGATTCAGATTAATGTGTAACTTACTTGAGTGTTTGAAAAGGGTCTCATAACTCCAACATTTTCTCAGATCAAGAAGTATGGAGTTTCTAGCATTTGAACAAAAGTTTAAAAATCCCTTCATGATAATTTCTTACAAGTCGGTCTTAATTTGGCAAAAATATTGTAATTAATATTACCAAGTTTAAAATCTGTACAAGCCTATATTTTAAAGAGAATTGCTTTTTACTGTTCATCACTACACCATAAATGGCATTTCAACTTAATTTTTTGTTACTTAGGTACAATTAATTCAATTAAATAATATAAATAATTCTACAATAATATAATGTAGGCAGAAAATGGAAGACTAACTTTTCCTATTAATTAATAATAATTCCAATTTCAACACCATTTGTAGAATTAAAATCATACATCCAATTATTGTAAACAATAGGGATCAGAGTTTTATGCAATTGCATATTTCTTCTGTTTAGTTGTAGATGTCTGAAGTTTGGTTTTCTTTCCAAATGGGAGACCCTAGATTTTGCAAATTTTTGCTTGTTTGAGCTACACTGCATAAAATTGCATATTTCAAGGTTATGCTAGATTATGTTGCATACCTAACAATCGATAATGAATAAAATTGCAAATTTCAGGAATGATTTATTATTTCCTTGCTTGGCTAGCTTCATCTGTAGGTGAAAATCTGTTAATAGGGAATATTAAATTATTTAGGTTGTGGTTGTGGTATTAGGACTTTTCTTGAATTAATTTTTTTTTATCCCCTTGAATATTATACCCTTTGTTGCAAAGGAAAAGTAGGCAGAATCAAGTAATGATATTAAAAACAAACAACACCTTTAATCACAGGTAGCCCTGTTTCCTGCTTAACTGAAAGAGAAGCCTGCTCAAATCATTTTTTGAACATCGATTTAGTAAAATCAGTCGCTACTTATATACTAGTCTCTCTCATTTTGCATGGAACTTGTAATGAGTTGCAATCTATTTTCTTTGCCCTCAGAATGAATTTCACTAAGTTCTATTTATTTTAGTAGGTATTTCAGTTCATTGGGTAATGTTTTATATAATTTCATTCGTTTTAAGACCATAATTTTGCATATTGTATATTTTTACTTTATACTTTCTCGGTCATATTTATTACTTAAATACATACATTTTTTTTTTTTACTATTCACATCTCCTTCTCCCCATTAAAAATAAATGTTTATTCCATTTTTAGTTTTAGTATTCCTAATGGTAGTTATGGTAACAAACCAATCATTGAAAAAATAATTTAAATTTATTTAGTTAATGAAAGAAAGCACTGACTTTTCATTTTACTGGTAAATTTCTTCAATTCTTGCCTTCGAAGTTTTCACAAAACCCCTGCAACTGTACTATGTACTGGTGGGGGTGCACCCACCATAGTGGGAGAACTTTTCATCATGATTTTTTATACAATTTTCTGAAATAATTATGTCAAATCCAGATCTATTAGAATTGACTGATGGCAGTTTTCTTTGCTGTTGTATTTATGCTACAGACTCAAAACTGAACTTCTCAAATATTTTGAAAATCCAGCCTTGGAAGAAAGCCATGTTTATGTTTTAAGTGCAACCAACTGCCCATGGGACTTGGATCCAGCATTTTTACGACGTTTCCAGAGACATATTTATGTTCCTTTACCAGATAGGTAAAATTCAATGTTTTTATTATTACTATTATTTTGTTTCATACTTACTGTCTTAAATGTTAAATGTGTAAATTATTTAAGGAAGATTAATTATAGTTTTGATCTTGATTTTTCTCTGATATTGGTTAGCAGTAATTACAATACTGTATGTTTGATGTAGAAAAATCAGTACCCTTACGATACTGAATTTTTTCTTGGTGTGCTTATGATTGCTTTTGTTTAAAAAATATTATTTGAAAATTTTCATTAGAAACTTCAAAAGACTTTCAGATTTTTCCTTTGTGTCAGAATTGCTCAACCATATCCTATATATTATCACAATTTTAGGAAATATCTTCATTCATGCATAACTCCAGATTAAAATTAATGTAGACAACTCCTGTACTAATTCACATTTGTTGAATGAATTGTTTAAATTGTTTTTAGAGAAGCAAGGCAGCAGATAATTGCTCAACGATTAAATGGATTGGGAGTATTATTAAGTGAAGAAGACTGGTACCAAATTCTCAACCATACTGAAGGTTTCTCTGGATCTGATCTTACCAACTTTGTCAGTATTGCAGTGGCTCAACCAATCAGAGAAATTTTGCGAGCAACATATTGGAGATGTCCTGATGGTAATTCTTCAATATATAATTTTAAAAAAAAGTATAATTGTACATGAAAGTACTACTACAAGCAACTCTTAAAATAACCAAATACTGTTAAGAAATATTACTTTTGATCCACCCCAAAAAAAGGCAGGCATGTATTAAAGATATAATAAATTAGATGCTAAGGTTGTAAATGATGTTCAAAGGGGTAAGTATATATTTTTATCCATTAATAACTCTGAATACCATACTTCATTTACAAGATGAATAGTAAGTTGAGATCAGTATTTTTTTATTTTATTTATTTAGGATTACTTTTCAAAAACTGGGTCATAAGCGAACACGAGAATCAATTTATAGTTTACACAAGAATATACATTTTTTACAGTTATGCCATTATACAATTCATACAAGCATGTAAATGGTCAAAATGTATTAATATTGTGGTTACTTACATAATGAGGATGAGGTGAGATATTTATTTCACAATTAAATATGAATTTAGGTGGTCTAGAGTGAAGAACAAAGTCATGGGCCTAGGCATGTGCACCCTAAATCAAAAGTAGGGTCCAAGTATATTCTGGGCTCCCTCATCCATTTATTTATTTTTTTCCATATTATATTTTCCATTAATCATTTTTTATTTATGTTTGACATTTTACTTGTTCAACAATTTTCAGTCTATTCTTGAACTTTAAATGTTGTGGGGGATGTATCAAATTTAATCTCAGGCCTGAATTCATATTACCTTCCAGGTACACAATATACAATTTATAAATTTTCCGTTTTGAAAAATGTAAGAATTTTTCACATGTTTCATTCCAATTTTTTTTGCAATTCATTTAATATGATTTCAAAAAGTATAAATTGACAAACCACACTCAATGTAACAGAGTTATTTTGAGAGGAACTGAAATTAAGAACATTGACTCTATTTTCAAGTCATAAAATCCTACAAATATAATTTTAAGTAATACTGTTTTAAAAGTAAAATTTCAATACTAAATTCCAAATGTGCAATTCTTTTTCAATTGTTGGTGTAAATACACACACACATATTCATGAAAATGCACCCACAGAGGGGAGAGAGAGGGAGAGGGATTTTAATATGCAAGAGAAGAATATGAGAGAGAGGGAGAGTGTGTGCGAGAGAGAGCATGAATGTGTTTGTATTTTCAATATTTTTAGCTACAAAAATTGTAATCGATAATGACTTATTTTGGGAATTGAATTTTAAAGATTTTTATTTGGGGAATTAAATTTTGGAGGTTGAGAATATAGGATTTGTTTAGAGTAATTGAAAAAATTAATAATTAAGTTTGCCTATGATTTGGAATATTTTCTTTCATTAACTAGACTGGTGATAAAAATAAAAACAACAGTACTGTAAACACACATAGTCTATTTGTTGATGGCATAATTATGATGTAAGTGAAAGCGTTGTTGTTTTGATTGAATATTTTAATTACGCTGACTGAATCCAATGAACTTAACCTCCAACTTTGAATTACATGTTCTTGAATCTACAATGGGAATTAAATTTAAATATTTTGTTCATTTTTTGACTGTTAAGCCTAAGAGGATCTTAATTGTTGATGATAATTTTCCTTTGGCATTCATAAGGCAAGGATGAAACACTAAAGTGAGGTTTTGGATCTAATTTAACTAATTGAAGCATCAATTTAACGTTAAAATATGACCAGAAATAATTTTTTAACTCGTCATAAAATTAACTTTATGGTCATTTTAACTAACTTTTTTACATTTATGATCATAATTTCTAGGATATTTATATCCAAAATCCAATCCATAATCAATCACAAAATTCAGTGCAGAAGTTCAGTCCTGCTGACTTTCACTTTGACGAACTTATCTATAATGTCGCCCAGATTTGCTTTCTATGAGTTCATGACGTTACTCTCCATGGACAGTAGGCTAATGTCTGTCAGTCTCTTCTGTAACATTGAATCTTGCAGATCATTTTTGATAATTTTCAATTTTTAATAAACAATAAATAATTGGGGCTCTGTGATGTCAAATTACAAATTTTGGAAAACATTGCTTTGTCATAATAAAATATGTAATTTGAACTTTACACTAGTTGATTTACGGTAATAAACAAATCACTTTCAGAAGAAACCTTTAAGAGTGTTCCCCAAAAAATTGCTTTTGGGCCCCTTGTGTCCAGGGGCTCCAGGTAATTGCACATGCTGGTCAGGTGATAGTTATGACACTGGGAAGAGTATGTTCGTAAAGTCATCTTTTTGAAAAAGAATGTTCCTAAAAGTTTATAATGTTATATTAAGTCAATTTAGTGAAACATGGACTTGATGAATGTGCACTTTAGTAAGCTCTGGATCCAAATTCTTCATAAGGCATGAATGGCTCCAGTTATAGCATGGTGCACATTTCTAGTATAGACCTACTAAGTAGCACCAAGTATCCAAAACCTGAAACTTTTCCATAATTCACTTTCCTAACCTGGTAAATTACTGTGAGAACAGTGGATAACCACCCTTCTGCTGGCTTCTTTTCTCTTTATTTTTAATTATAATTTTTACTCAGATTTCTATTTTTTAGTGGATGTGTTTCTATTTCCATTTTGGTCATCATCCAGTAATATGCAAATCACCAAATCAAATATGGAAAACCAAGATAATTCATAAGTTTGTGTACTGGCTTGGGTGTCTCAGGGCATTAACTGATGTTACTGCAGTGCCTCCAACAGGAAGTTCCTAGGTTGAAGTACTGACTGTGACAGAATTTTCAACACTAGCTTGTCAGCTAGGTCGAATTCAGCTGCTGAAATGAGGAGAAAACTAGTGGCTGGCTTCTCTGATCAGTAGTTTTTTCCATGGTTTCTTCATTCAAGTCAGTTCCTCAAAAAAACAGGTCACTGAGGAATGCAACCTTTCCTTCCCCTTCCTTGTCTTCCTACTAAAATCTTTTATATAAATATTAGGTAGCTATTACACAAAAGAAGTAATTTTCTTTGTTATTTTATTAGATTATTAACTTTTTTCAGGGGAACATATAATGCCCTGCGATCCAAGTGCACCTGATGCTTTCCATGCTACTCTCAATGATGTTCCACCAGAAAAGGTAAGACATTGGTAGAATCAAAGGCTTTGTGTACATGCTTTTTAACAAGTGCTTTTTATAATTGTATTTACAATTTATTCCCTAATGCATGGATGGGAGAAGATTTATTAGGAAATTTCCGAAGTCCAATTGCCATAAATTTTATTAAAACTATTTCACAAATGAAAAATAGTAATTAATTGCAGTGATAGGTATTTGATTTAACATCAGTTTTGTAACTTAAATAAAGTTAGTAGTAGTAATATTTAGTCCAGATGATAAAATAATATCTCTATTACCCATTTGGATTGATGAATCAATCCAAATTATTTGTCATTGTCTGATGAAGCAGATATTCTTCACCCTCATTGACTAACTCTTTGCACTCAAAGGCATTCAGACTTAAACTTGCTACCCATATTGGAAGGCTTTGTGAGACCACCAAGAAGTGTTAACTTAAATGTGTTGCAGATGAAGTTGACCGACAGATCTTAATATCTCAATGGGTTATATGGCATCTCTCAGGTGACCATTCAGTTAATACTGAGTTTTATGGATACATTTTTCCTCAGTTGCTGTGCCATACATTTCATGTAGTAACAATCTGTGCCTCAAATGAAGTGAAATGGGCTGGTTTATCTTTTATTTTCGTTAGCAATTATGCAATGGAATGTGTCCATAGTTTTCAACAACTGATTTTAGATCAAATAAGGGAAGCCGAACAAAATATGAAACTTAATAAATACAAAAAATTGTAATTATAAATCTGTTTGTCCACTGCATGGTATTCTATTAAACCCTTGAAATGTTTTTTAATAAGAAACTATATTTACATATTCTATTAGAAGTTCCAAACTCAAGACAGTCTCTTTTCCTTGGGAATTTTGAAATCTCAATTTTCACATCACTCTAGTTATTCCTACATACTTGAAACTTACTGTGCTACATACTTGAAATTTTTATTCCTTTTAGTGTTATGAAATGTATAATTTGGGTATTTTAATGAATATTAAATATGCTCATGGTGATAGCTCTTCATTCTTCTGGAAAATATAGTGAATATACTATCTTCGTGTATTTTCCTGTACCAAAACCAAAACATTAAAATCATTGTTTACATGTTTTTGAAAAACAGTTATGATTTCTCTTAAAATACTCGATGACTAATATTTTAAAAAAATATCTATCATTTAAAGATCTAAAATTGAAAGATAAATTGCATTGAGAAAGAAATCTGCCTTTGTTATTGGAGGTGTTGAACAGGTTTGAAGAATATTTGAATTTGAGAAATTTTCAAACTTTCTGAGGTTTTGCTGAAAATTGGAACTATACTGGGTTCTTCTTTTCAAGCAAAAAATGTAGAGAAAACATTTGCATTTATTTTTCAGAAAATTTTGGAAATGTCACTGGGCTTTATTTAAAGTACCTCCCAAAAATTTAAATATGTTAATGATCCCTGGAATGGCACTATTAGATCATACTGACATATTTCACTAGTAATATGACCAAGTTTTGCATAACACATAATTCAGTCCTTACAGACATCCCAATTTTAATGTAGCAAAGTGTATGTAACTCTTTGCCACCTATAGCAATCTTAATCATCTTTAAAACAGCACAAATATACCTTATCCTTATGATTGTGCCAAGTTACAGCTCAAGAGAACTTGAAACAAACATTTTACCAGTGAAAATTTAAGATCATATAGTTGAGGTGATTCCAATTACTTTTCTCTCTGTTCTGTAGTATATGGAGTCCTCCCTACACCTTATTTCCTCCTTATGCTCTAAGAAAAGTAAAAAGATTTCTTTGTTTGTCAAAGTATTGTAGGCATTATTATGCTATTAGTCATTTAACTCAAGGAACAGGGAGGGCAAAAGATCCTGGGAGCTCCCCTTATTTCAAATAAAAGTTCTCACCCCCCTTATTTATTCATGAGCTCACACCGAGAAAGAAATTTTGTATACATACCAAGTATATATTATGTCGAATATATGTAAATAGTTCACTTATAACAACGAATCTCCTATGAAAACTTTTTCCTTTCATTATTATTATTATTATTATTATTATTATTATTATTATTATTATAACAATTTATTATCAATTATTATAAAATTTGCGTACAAAATTACTTTTTATGTGAAAGTTGATGTTTTGGTCTTCTTGCAAGCTTTCATTAGTAGTTAAATTAAATTAGAAGTAAATAATTTTTTTTTGTTTTGATAAAAAACAACTTGTTTTGGGGCCCAGGGAAAGTTGTGCTCACTGCCCCCTTCTGGACGTCCCTGCAAACTGGCGCCACTAAATTTGATGATGGTCGAGAATCCATGGGTAGAATAGAAAGTGAGGAATGGTAGTTTGCAGATTGATTACTCTCGTGATTACGGGGCCGCCGCCGCTCCCGCAGCAGCCTAGTCACCGTCCCAGCCGGCCCGCACGCGGGGCCGCGCCTGTCGCCTAAGTAGTCGACCTCTTGAGAGTACGTCTCTCGTTCGACGCCTCCCAGACGGCGGCGCTGCTGGCTGCACTGCTGTCTCTGCCAGCACCGGTGCGAGCTCCATCTCGGGGTTACCGGGAAGCGCAAATTAATAGCGCTGCTATTGGCACTCGAGACAAAGTTGAGAATAAGTTTTAAGTTTGAGAATAGGTGAAGGCCGTTCCGACCCTAAGGCCTCTAATCATTCGCTTTACCGAATGAGATTCGGTTGTTAGGTCTTTCAACGAACGCCCGCTATTCTGAGGGAAACTTCGGAGGGTACCAGCTACTACAGAAATGATAACTACACTAGGTCCAATAACGATTTATTTTTATTCATACTTTGTAGTCCTTTTAATTAATTAGTTAAGTGCGTTAGCTTTCTTAAAACAACTGGTTCTTAATGTCTAATTGTCTACTTTAGGTAACCCTGTAAAATAAAATCCATGTTATAGGCCTGTAGTATTTGTTTCACAGCAATTTCACATTTAAACTTTATAAATCTTTAATAATTAATATAATTTTTAAATTAAAATTTTCGTTAGATGTTTGATTTTTACACTACAATTCCAGAAATGCAGCCATAGTTTCTAACTACATGTTATTAACACACAACTCATGTTATTATCAATTTGTTAAAAAATTCTAGTAAATTAGATTAGTATGGCTATTTCAAATTGCAAGGTTCTTCATATTCTGAATGAAAATCAATTATTACATGAAGAATTGCAGGAAAGTTCTATAGGGAATTAGGGATATGTGTCTGGCAATGCAAAAGAATGAAAAATGGTAGGGCTTATATCTATAATATTAACTAACTTTAAAAGTCTATAATATTAAAATCTATTTAGAATGTGGAACTTTCCACAGAATTGGCAAATGATAATTGCTACTGTATTTTGTCTTCTTGTGCTGTGCAATGCCTGTTCTAAGTGATCTAACAAATTACTTTTTCTTTTTTTTTCAGGTGAAAGCTCGTAGTGTGGTTTTGAATGATTTTCTGTATGCTATTCAAGAAACTCCCAAGACTGTTACTGATGAACACATCCAACAATTTGAAAATTTCAAGAAATTGTTTACTCGATAGATAATTAATTGTGTTGTTTGTTCTATACATTTGATTTAAAGAATGTTCTGTTTGCATTTACACATAATTCAATGTTGTTACTTATTAATAGTTTTTTTTTGTTTTACTGCAATTTATCTAATTTTTGGCATTTCACTGTAATTTTGTTATTTGTCAATGAATTTGTTGAGTTGCTTACCACAACACGCAACAATTTTCCTGTTCTTCATATTTTTTCCCATAATTTTTTTTTTCATAATATTCAAATGTTCATATTAACGTTTCCTGTTTTTCATGTTTTTTCCCTAAATTAATTTTCTCATAATGCTCATGTTCATGTTTTCTGTTTTTCATATTTTCCTCCTGAATTTTATTTTACAATGTTCTTTAAAAGAAATTAAATTTGGTTCAGTTCCATCAAGTTTTTATGCCTTCTTTTATTTACTTTTTATACTTGATCCCTTTATAATCCTGATAAAGTACTTACATAAAGTTAATAACTTGTGCCATGATTGAACACTGTCAAAATCAAGTTTTTTCACAAAATTTTATTTAGAAAAGCATTATTTTTTATTTTATGTTAACTCTAATTTCAATGTATTCAAATATTTCAAGCATCCGAAGTAGCATTTGTTCAACTGATCATTCACCATGTTTTGTAAATTAAAATAATAAATCAATATTGCACAATTAAAAGTTCAAATTTGGATTTTTGATTGAAGATGCATTTCTTGTATTTACTCATTCATCATTAATTTAAGAAGTTCCCCCTATTTCGGGCTTGAACTATCGCCTGTGGACTATGCATCAACTGTCATGTCAGCACACCGGCATGAAACATCTCAATTAATTAATTGCTAATTATTTGCCACAATTTGGTATTAATTGCCATGTTAAATGGGTGTGAGCTGGCTTGATGCGACACCTGCTCACATAAGTTAAATTCGCGTCGTAGCTCCATGGAAACTCTCAGATGATTTATTGCTAATTAATTGCCACGTATTTTCGAGGCAAAAATAGGTGTGCTGCCAAGTCTGGCTAAAGTGTTCGGAATAACAGAATAAATCAGTGGGGAAGCTAATAATATTGTTTATGCTGTAAATCTAGTTACATTTTTTTGGTAAATTAGTTCAATTCATCGTGTTTTTTTTATTTAGCAAAAATGTCGATAATTTGTACTTTAAAGATGTCGTTCTCGCAAAGTTAATGTAGAACACACTTCTCGACAGTCAGTGTACTGAAATTACCGATCCTGATATTTCCCATGAAATTTCTCGGGAATGTCTTTATTCTCTTCAATGTACTTATATTACTTTCACATACTGCTGTAGATACCGGTAAAGTTAGACTGAGTTGTATCAACCGAACCGTCTCTTTGAGAATTTTTTTCTAGACAAGTTTGTCCAACAAATGCCCAGCAAGAAAACTGCAAGCATATATTTTGCATTATCAGTTTATACATAATTTCAAAGCTGCTCACTGTCAGAGAAAGGATATTGTTTTATTAGAAAAGAAAACTTTTCTGAACGAAAGAACGCTTTGTAGGTGGAAAACTGCTTTTCGTCAAGAAATTCAATCTTATGCTGCCGCAGAGACCAATGGCCAAGTTAGAATAAATTTAAAAAAACAATTCAATAACATGAAAGTTTTCCGTCTTCAAACCTACATTCCATCTGAGTCACTATCGGTATCAATAATTTTAAAAGAAATAATTTTGTGTCTCAAATAATTCTGATCCTGAAAGTTTATTTATGGTCATGTCTGCTTTATTGCAGATTTCAATAGTCTCTTCATATCTAAAGACGGTATATTTCTATGTATCTCTATTTCTATCTCTGCGTCCGCATGATTCCGCATTGTTGGGCGAAAACAGCATTTGGATATCGTGAACCGTTTAAAAGTTATGGGAGTGGCCTATAGCCAGTGGGACATTCTCTATAACATTAAATCTTTAGCTTAATTAATTGTTCCATAAAGAAAACACGAACAAAAATCACATAAACAACTCTACTTTCCCACAACGTTAGGTGATGAGGTGAATTTTTCTAATTTGCAATGCAAGAGAAGAGAAATTGGACTTTCAAAATACCTTTTCGTGCTTTGCGCTCTTGATGATAGTAATGTAGTTATTAAATTTCACTGTCATTTGTCGGTTAATAGTTTTGTTAAAATTGTTTAATTTTACTTCTTATTAAAATCGGGTAGAAGAAATAAAGTGTACGAATGTACCTATAGTGTGTTTTGTAATTCAACGTAAGCTGTAATGCATTCTTTTTTCGTAATATTGGATGATGCCAAAAAACATCAACACTAAGAAATTCTAATTTAAACAATGTAACAGATGCTGATCTGAAATTTAGTGAGGTTAATAATGATAATCAGGTTTTTGTTTTAGTGCTCTTCATTGCCCGCAAGTGTGACATGAAGAAGATTAATTCAATTAAACACCCTACTACAACAATGACTTTTAGCTTTTATTATTGTAAAGAAACAGGAAAAGTATGTTTATTTCATTGCTTTATATATTTGTTCAATATAATATATCTGTAAAAGAAGATTGTAATTAACTTTGGGATAATCTGACTTCCACCTCAATCAGGTTCTCATCGTTTCCCTTGACCTAGTATAGAGCAAATGCCGAGATAATCCCTTGCCTTAGCTTCTGAGTTTTTAAATGTAGCGTTTATCATCGTTATGAATGTCAGACAGACTGAGAGTAATCTTCCTTACAGATTTTCTTGGAGACCATCGACGTTTAGCACTACGTAGAGGTATATTTCTTTGCGAGAAACTGTAGTGACACAATATGACGGCTGGCGCAATCGTCGTGCTTCAAAAATAATAGTTCATTATTTCGTACTTCGTCTAATATTATGTGTCAGTGAGCCACGCATCCGGTCGCCACGAGGCGAATTACACATTCTCAGAATAGGCAGCGCAAGTGAATGTAACACATCACAAACTGCATTTCCACATTTTAAATAAATATTATTATTTTTCATTCTTTGATTACAACTAGATCAATGGCACGTTGCCATAACAGTTGAATGCCCAATAAAAGGAAAAAAACGGGCTTTAGGTTTTTGTATATATACACACGACATATTATAGGGATCATCAATTCCATTGCCTCCCTTTTTTTTACCTTACTTGAGTTGAGATTGCCGTTCGTCTTCCTTCGTCTTTCGTCTTAGGTCGTTCGTTGTTCGTCTTTAATCTACCGTCTCACGTCGTCCGTCGTTCGTGTTTCTTATTCCGTCTGTCGTCGTTCGTCGATCGGCTTTCGTAGTGTGTTGTTCGTCTTTCGTCGATCGTCAATCGTCGATCGTTGTTTCTCTTTCGTCGTTGTTGAATCGTTTTTTGTCTTTCGTTGTTCGTCATTCGCCGTTCGTCTTTCTTCTTTCGTCTTTCATCTTTAAACGTTCGTCGTCCGTCATTGGTCATTGGTGTTTGGTCTTTCGTTTTTCGCCGTTTGTAGTTCTTTGTTCGTCGTTCGTCGTTTGTCGTTCGTCTAACGTTTTTCGTCGTTCGTTTTACGCCTTTCGATGCTCGTCGATCGTCGTTCGCCGTTGGGCGTTCGTCATTCGAAGTTCGTCATTCGTCAATCATTCTTTCGATTTTTTCCCGTCTTTCGTCATTTGTAGTATGTTCTTCGACGTTTTTCGTTCGTCATTTGTCTTTCAGCGTTCACCGTTCGTCTTTCATCTTTCGTCGATCGGGGTCGTCCTGCGTCGTTTGTCTTTTTTCTCGTCTCTCGTCTTTCGACGTTCGTGGTTGATCTATCATCATCCGTCGTTCGCCTTTCGTAGCTTGTTGTCCGTAGTACGCCTTTCGTCGTTTGTTGTTCTGAGTTCGTCTTTCGTCGTTCGTCTTTCGTCTTTCGTCGTTCGTCTTTCGTCGTTCGGCGGTCGTTCTTCGTCGTTCGTCATGCTTCTTTTGTATTTCGTCTTGTCTTTCGTCGTTTTACGTCGAACGCGAACGACCAACGACGAAAGACGAACGACGGAAGACGAAAGATGAATGTCGAAAGACGAAACACAAATGACGTATGACGAGAGACAAAAGCCAAAATACGCACGACAAGCTAGGAAGAACGATCGACAAACGATGAAAGACGGACGACGAACCACGGACGACAAACGTTGAAGGATAAAGGACGAACGACGACAGACTCGAAATATGAATGAAGAAAAAGCTCGAAATATGAATGAAGAAAGACGAACGACAAATGATAAACGTCCAACAGCGAACGAAGAACGACGAACAACGAATCGTGTACATCAATTCCTGTACGATTATTGGACTTGGTTTTTTCGATTACGTTTTTCAGTAGTCGTTTTTTCCTGTACGTGTTTTCGTGTACGTTGTATCGTTTTTGTTTTTTCGTTTTCGTTTTTCCGTGTTCGTTTTTTCGTGTTTATTATATAGTTTTTTCGTTAACCGTGTTCGTTTTTTCGTGTTAGAGTTTTCGTTTACGTTTTTTCGTGTTCACTATTTCCTTTTCGTGTTTCGTTATCGTTTTTTGTCTTATTTTTTCGTTTTCGCTTGTTCGTGTCCGTTTTTTGGATTTTCGAATTCTATTTTTTGTAATCGTTTTTTCGAGTTCGTTTGGTCGTTTTGGTTTTTCCCTTTTCGTTTTCGTGTTTGTTTTTTCTTGTTTGTTTTTTCGTTTAGGTTTTTTGTTTTTTTCATTATCTCCTTTTCGTATTTTCGTTTACATTTTTCGTTTTCGATTTTTCGTTTGCGGTTTTTCTTCTTTGTTTCTTTGTGTTTAGTTTTCAGTTATTTCGTTTTCGTTTTTCGTGTTCGTTTTGTCGACTTCTTGTTTTCGTGTTCGTTTTATCGTTATCGTTTGTCGGGTTGTTTTTTTCATTTTTGCTTTTTGTGTTCGTTTTATCCTGACCGTTTTGGAATTTGATTTTTTGTTAACGTCGTTGTGGTTGTCGTTTTTTTTGTAGTCGTTATTTCGTGTTCGTTTAATTAATATATTGTTTCATTTTCGTTTTTCCGTGTTCATTTTTTCAAGCTCGTTATTTCGTGTTCCATTTTTCGTGTTGGTATTTTCGTGTTCGTTTTTTCGCATTCGTTTTGTTGAGTTATTTTGTTTTCCTTTCTCCGTATTCGTTTATCGTGTTCGAGTTTTGATGTTGGATTTTTCGTGTTCGTTATTTCGTATTTGTTTTTTCGGGTTAGTTTTCCCAGTTTTTTCGT